TACACTAATGAAAACATACCTGAATATTATATTACATTTCTGCCAGTAGATCCTGCTAAATGTTTTTAAGTTCCAATTCAAATATGTAGAAGCTTTCCCAGTCATACTACAACTTGGGTGTTGACGCGAAGTAACTACAAGTCGGAAATTTTTTTTTTCAACCTGATCGACAACACTTTCACATCTGTATCATCTGTTAAGTATGAGGCAAACAGGGAAACCTCCAGTAATTAGTAAAGAGTTTATTTGATAGTTTTCATGTATTATTCGAAGATGGTTACTCCGACTGCTAACCTTACCACACAAATATCCTAAATTAGCTTCTTTTCTTGTGTTAGATACTCATAGCTGTTTGCTACCAAGTGAAAACAAACGTTTTTTTTAAGCTAATTGAATTAGCGTTAATATTGGATTTCATTTCGATGTTACTGCCAGTGATGAGGGTTTTTTGAGGATTTTGCAGATGGTTTACACCTCTGTACTGTACCTCTTTTCACAAAGTGCAAGATATAGTAGTTGTCAGAAATTCATAATATTTCCCAAATATCAAACTTCTCCACAATTTAAAGTTCTCCAAAAATTCCACCAGAAATACATTATACTTGAAAAAAGCAGCTTATTTGGGTCACATATTGCATTTCTAGTTCATTTTTCCTGTTTGGTAATGTATTTTATTTTGTATTATGAATAATATGACTGAAACCTGTCATTATATTCCATACAGATATTTCCAGTGTGACTATAATTGGAGTCATTTACAGAAAACCATCAGGGTGACGCAAGTTTTTGTGACGGCTCCTCACAATCGGGGTCCAAGGACATCTCCCTTCACTCATTAATTAAGATTTTAAAAATCACACAAGGAGAAACCAAAGAGCCAGAGTTACCAACCTTTCCACCAACAGTAGCTTGAGCAGTCTTGTAGAAGAGGTTTACAACTGGAAACCTGTTTGGTAACTACAGCCGGCTGAATGTGACAAACTTGTTGTCCCTTTACTGAGAGTTGTCAAACCTCATTCTTAGAATACAAAAAAATCTCAAACTGAAGAATAAGTAAACCAGGCTAATTAAAGGAATAAAAAAAAAAATAACACAATAGCTTCTGGAATAAACATCACAGCTTGATTTATCTTATCATTTTACTGAACCCAGTGAACTACATTTTCCATTCTGAATGCTTGACAACCAGTTATTAAAGGTCTAAAAAGTAGCAAAACAGAATAAAGGATAAGGCTGGTGATGTGCTATATGTTTCATATTGTGAACAAATCCCATGAATAGACCAAAGCCAACAATTTATTTATCTTATTTTATCTTAGTAATGGCTGTATAGCTAAAGCCTTGTATGGATTCGTTCTCTGAGACACAAAGGTACTTTTTGACCAAAAACTATTAAAACCACATTGTTAAACCACAATGTTCCATCATAACGGCGAACATGGGCGCTGTAGTTTTGGAGTCAGTCCCAAATACATCATCCTGCTTCGAGATATACTCAATAGCTGAAAAAAAAAAAATAATAATAATCCCCAACAAATGTATAAATTCCTTCTGTCATTAGCTAAAAACTACAGTGCCCTTGTATATATTTATACTGTATATATATATGTGTGTGAGTGTGTGTGTTTTAAGTATTAAGTAAGAACAAATGGGCAACAAATGAGTGGCAGGGTAGAGACAGGGTAGTAGCACATTCAAAAAAAGCATTGAGAGACGGAGTAACACATTGTTGGTTTTGGTCTTTTTTGATGGGATTTGCTGCCTTCTTTTTAAAGAAAACTGACTTCAGGAAAGTCAACCTGCAGATAAGGATGGACACAGATATTACCTCTTTTGTTTGCTAATAAAGGTCTGTTTAGTGGCAGCAAATTACATCAGTCCATTACCACGATGGTAGCACACCTCTGCTGCTAACTGAAGGTTAGGATGACATAAAAGTGCGGGGTTGCCGAATACTGATGAAATTGTCTGAGCTTTGTTTGTCTAAATGCTGAGGGTCAGCTGTTCCCAATCAGGGTTAAAGCAAGTCCTTTTTAGGGAAAATGTAGCTACGTTAATCATCGTTTCTATGCCATCTGATGATTTCTTTCTTCTGTGTGAGCCCTGTACAAAGCAAGCTGTGAGCACAGAGCAGGTCCATTTATCTGTTAAGGCATATGATTACTACAAAGGACAGGAATAGACATGACTTGTGACACACATTGGAAATTGTCACAGACAAGGCTCTGCATGGGCCTTCATGTTGCTGCCCTTTGATTCGTCAATAAATCACGAATAGATGTTGTAACGGCAGAAACTTCATCTGGGAATTCTTTTTTTCTCTTTAATGTGACAAGATAGCTTATTCCCCGCCTTCTCTTGCACATAAAACATGCTGACAAAGAAAATAATGAAAACCACGACAAATAAATATATCAGATAATTGGAATTTTTAAGCAAAGAAATAGGTTTGAATGGTCTGATGCACACTCTCCTTTTTGTTCACTCTCCGTTTGTTTCAGCAGGCATGCGGTGATTTAAGTTAACTTCAGATAAAATATTATAAACAAATATATACACTTGGTAATATAGCTGTCTTAAACCATTCTTTCAATAAATTTAAAGTAACTGTAAACATGCACTCTTTTCCCACTGAGTTCTCTTGGCGCCCAGGCTCCATTGGCGGCAACTACAAATGATGGAGAGAAAGATTATGATGTGCTGTTATTTGTGTTTTTTTATCTTGCGACATTCCCACAGTGTGGCTGTAGTATTAAGGTTCTGTCAGGTGTGTTAAATGGCTTTGGATTTGTGTATATTGAAACACTGAGATGGATTAAAGTGACACATGAGCAACCTTGTTTGGAGGGACCCAAAAACACATGTGGGTACAGTTAATGTCTGCAGTGTACGAGGACACACTGGACTGTCTGTTTTCATGGGGCCTGGGTGCGAGAGTAAGGACTCAGTGTATTTTTTAAAGGGAACTGGGGTCTTAAGGCATCAAAGCCCGACCCTACAGTGGAGCTCAGTTTGTACCATCAGAACACCTCACCGGTCTCCCTCTGCCCTGCACCAATAACGCTTACATTTCCAGCAGGGTGGAAGGCAGTTTTCCACAAACGTTTAACTCACATCAACTCTTTGGGTTTCAGCATTCACACATTTACATTCTCTTTAAGTTTTACATTTCGAAGATATTAGTGTCCATCAGTCGGCTCGGGTTGAGATCAGATTTAGTCTTTCTTGAACAAATTCTTGACCATAGGAGTAAGTGTCTGTGTAACAAAATAATCTCAAGGTCCATGTACCTTTGGAAGTCAACAGAGATCTCCATCAGGTATTGTCGCTGTTGCTGAGAGCTATTAGTACAGTGTGCGTCTCTTTGATCCAGCACCTACAGAAGGTTTTTTGGATGTTACCTTTATTGATGTTTGAGAGTTATAATATGATAGATCAGTTGATTTTTTTTGTGAGTGGGACATTCTACAGTTGACAAATTAATCTGATTGACCAACGTTTTCAGCTGCACAGGGCTCTAGGGATGGCAATTTTGGTGTGTCCAATACTGTGATACAAATACTTACCAAACTAATGACTTATAGAGCTCTGACAAAGCTAGTATGTGAATCACGAGATTATTTTGTGACACATTCTGTAATTTTGAAGCATTTGCTGTTTGTTTCTTCTGCAAGCAAGCCAAGTTGAAAGGGTGATACAATTCAAGTCTAAAATAGTGTGAATTTGAAAAAGTGGAAAACTGCCTTCAGAGAGCGGGTGTAGCAGCTCTGTACAGTGAAGAATACTGATCTGAACCCCTCTAAGCTAAGATTTCCACATTAATAACAATGATATATTAAAAACACATTCGTGTGTACAGTATAAGTGAGCTCTACACCTACTTTCCAGAAATATACATATACTCTTTCTGCACATACTGTATACTATAATTTGCCATATTGCGAGGACAGTAATATGGATACATTCTTATAAACACTAAACTAAGCTCCCTGGTCTCTGAATGATACATCCATCTTCCACCATCTCTGGGAAAACACAACTCATCCCATTTAGTCTCTTTCCTCCATTACCATCACATCTTTATTTGGCGTAGTTAAACAAATCATGAATGCATTGAAGCCACCCAGCACCTTGCAGTATAGGGGCAGGCTCGGGGATTTGCACTCTGATGCGAACTTGACATTGCGAGTTGATGTTTGACACAGTAATTAGGCGTAGGGTTTCACTGGAGGAGAGAAAGAGCCTCCCTGAAATAGAGGGATAAATTTAGTTCCCCTGTCAATGCTCTGGTAAATAAAAACCCTGGGGGCCCAGCAGTTATACCCTTGAGGGGATTTATTTCAATCTGTGACCCACAAGAAGTGTCCTACGGCACATGGCACAGAGGATTCGATTTGGCTGGTAGTGTTAGAGTTCAGCAACCAAGGAGGACAAACAAGTTTCTTCATCAAGCAAAGATTAACTACAATGTCTCCAATCTCTACTTAAATCTAGATTCGGGTCAATTTATATCGAGATAGCCGTGCGCAACTAAACAAGCACTTACTCTGCCTGACAGCCAGATCATCTACGCAGTCTGGAAATATGGTTACAAGGATCTTTTTTTCTAGGCCAGTGATGCTAAGAGGCAAGATTCCCTGCATGCTTCCACCCATTCCATGCCACTGTTACGCCCCACTGCCATCAACCCACAAACAAAATAAGTCAATAATGGATGAGGCTTTTCCTCTCCTTGGCTGTACCGCACTCTCAGTCTGTGGGGAGGCCCTGCAGCGAGCGCTCTTACAAGCAACCGCTGTTTCATTATTCATACAGGTGTTTTTAAGAGGTGGATCTCACTCTATTTACTCACCGCCCTTGTAAACAACCACGATTACTGCCACGCCACTCTCACTTTAACCTTCTCCTCTTTCTCACTGTAGTGTGTCAGAGCTCCTTCTTCCTCAACGTATCCCTCCATCCCCTCACTATCACTTCCTTTACTTTATTCAAGGGAGGGATTAGAGGGAATCCCAGCGGCCAAAGTTGTGTTGAGCAGGCAGTGCAGTACTGGCATTGTGGCTGGGGTTTTTTGGGGGGCAGGAGGCGGCTTGGACTGAGAGACTTGGCTGTTGCAGGTGGCTGAGACTAAACCCAAGGCTGGGACTGAGGTTTGGAGACAAGACTAGAGGATGATGGTTACACAGGAGTAGGTCGGTACTGTATACTGAGAGTCTTTTTATTTCAGGTGCCGTTGCTGCAGGTTCCTGTGGGGTGAATTGTCTGTGGGCGTCCTGACTTAAGGAATGTTCCACTTGTTAATGTGATCCTGCTGATGAACTTCCCACTTTCTTCAACTCCAACCTGTGCAGTCATCTGATGGAGCTGCCTGTACAGTGGGCGGCGTGTGTGTGTGTGTGTGTGTGTGTATGTGCATATATGTACTGTATGTATGTGTATTTTTGTATTTGTGTGTGCATGCGTGTGTCCTAGTCGCGGCTCCGGTTGCGTTTCTTGAAGAAAAAGAAGGGTGTCTTCTGAGGCGGGCCCAGCAAAATGGGGACCTGGTTCTTGTGTGTGATTCTGATCTGTAAGAATCAGATAGAGAAGGACACAGTGAAGGTATTACATTTGTGCAGTGTTCTGTTCTTAATATTTTTTTGACAAATCTACCAGGTTGACACAGTCATCACTTCCTGGCTCTTTATAACAGACTGTTATAAGACCACGCGCTGCGACCTTGCAAATAACTCAAACAACACAACAGTAAGCCCTTTATTTGTCCGCCTCCATGAAGGTCCACTGTGACAGAATTAAAAAATGGTTTGAAAAAGGATGAATTGATAATAGTTGACTTGACTATGAAGAATATTGCCGGCTTGATATTTGATGGCATGACAGTGTTGGAGGTGAAGGCCAGTGGTGTGCAGAGGAGGAGGATTAACTAAAGCAGGGAAATGAGCCTAGACAGGACAAAAGCTGAGTAACACTCATCTTGGTCTGGCACACGGCAGACTTTATCAGCTCTCAAGGATAAGTGAGTCCACTGGTATCCAGGGGATGCTTAAAAAGACCCTAAACCTGGTGTGGTACTTACAGGTGAGCCTGGCTATACCCAGAAGGTACCAGAGCAGTGATGTTACACGTCCCAAGAGGCAGTTTTTGCAGTCAGCGTCTGTCTGTGCCTTTACCTGCCAACTCACTAGGAATGCATCCGAACCCTAAGTCTGCAGGTCAACCCATATTATGCTGGCCCCTTTGTTAAAATTTTGGGCTACACAAGGCCACTACTTGCCGAAGATACAGTAGAAATGCAGTGTTCGCATGTGAATGTTCTATAACCAATCAAAGTTTTGAACTGGCTAAAAACAGTGCCTTACCGGATGACATTGTGCTGTGTTGTAGCAAAAGTTGAGCCAGGTGACCTATTTGCTTTGGGAGAATCCGCCAGGGCTGCTTCAGACAACCCTGCTCCCAGGGTTTCAGGATCACACAACCCCTTTCACTACAATGAGGCTCCAACATTATCTGCAATGGTCAACTTAGAGGGCTCTGGCAAAAAACACAGCGTCTTCTGTCAAAGAGTTGAATCTGGCTTAACTTTTGCCACAACGCAATGCCATATCAACTGGCAGCACACCACTGTGGCCAAAGAAATACTTGGTGTAAAATCTGTCTTCATAGTATTATAAACCATTGTGCTGTGTTTTGGTGCTGGATAAGGCTTCCAAGGCATCCTTCATTGTAATTCATCATCTTACCTGAAGCAACATAAGAATTTTCTTATAATCGTGTTTAATCCAGTCTGTAAATGTGAATTATTTCAATCTAACCAGTGAAAACAAGCATTAAAGTGTTACATTTAGGCAACTGCTCTTCCTGCAGTATATCACTGTAATGTACTTTCTATGCACTTGGTTATACAATATAAAATCTTATAGGGTCCATGAGAAGAATTTGTCAACATGGAGGGCAGTGCCACTGATTGAACTCTCACCGTGCAGGGGGTTGCATCCAGGGCTCACCATCGATCTGCATGGGCAGCCGTCGTGACGTCCTGTGAAGAGAGAGCAGAAGGGTGAGCAGGAGAGGTTGGGGGGGAGGGGGGGGGAAGCATAGGGTGGGGTTGGAGGTTGTGAAGGTCAGATCACACACACCTCTGAGGCACGGGAGGCCTGTTCACACTGTCCCAGGACGGGGTCAAACACTGCACCCTTTGTTCCCATGAGACCCATTCCCAGACAGGCCCCCACTCTTTAAACTCACAGACCCACTGTATACACACACGCGCACACACACACACACACACACACACACACACACACACACACACACACACACACACACTCACTCAAAGTTGGTTTAAGACTTTCATGCATGCCTCTCTGCTAGAGAAACACAGTATGGGAGAATGACTGTGATGAATGGCCTTTTAATTCTTGTCTAGGAAAATATTAGGGGCAGTGAGAGAGGGACCTGTCACTTCTTTGGTACAGTAACTGGCTCGCTGTAGCGTTTAAAGGGCCGAGTCTTGCAAGAGCAACAAAAACATCTGAACTAAAACCACTTGCTTTGACTACATAAAGGTGTCAGAACCAATAAGTGGCCACAGTACACTGACTTGGTAGTAAATGGTGAATGGACCTGTACTTGTATAGCGCCTTTCTAGTCTTCTGACCACTCAAAGTGCTTTTACACTACATGCCACATTCACCCTTTCACACACATTCACTCAGTGATGGCAAAGCCCATCGAACACAAACTAACCAGTCATACACATTCACACAGCAGCATCGGGAGCAATTTGGGGTTCAGTATCTTGCTCAAGGATACTTTGACGTGTGCACGAGGAGCCAGGGATCGAACCAACAACCTTCCGCTCTTCCTCTGCACCACAGCCGCCGTAGTGTTTGACAGAATTTGACTGAATCTGAATCCAGTAACAAAAATGCTTATTGTATCCAATCTTTCCTTATTGTGTTTATCTAGGCCAGTTTTTAACATCCATTAGTAACTAAAAGTTACACAGGCAGTAACTAACAAAAACTCAAATAATCATGGAAGTTCTCCAAAAGCTCAAAAGTTTAACGTGATTGCCTAAATAATGCTCACTACGTGTAGTTAAACCCCCGAAAATAAGATAAGCAACAATACATATGTGTGATATGTGTGAAGTATTTTTTTTTTTATTGAGGTCCAAATGCAGAATTATTAAGTTCAAGTTCTCTATTGTCACAACAATAACAGTAAAGTATGGAGGACTAAAAGTGCCAAAATTAAATAATTAAATACATCATTAAATAATTACTTAAATGTGTTATTAATTCATTAAAATTGGAATTAAATATATAAATGTGTTATTAAATGTGTCATTAATTCATTAAAATACCAATTCATTTTATGTAAAAAACATATGTGACGCGTTCCATCAAAATGAGTCGGATGTCGCAGCGGCCCGTTTGTGTAGAAACACGTTTTTACAAGAAAATACAATTTTGGGCTATTTTCAGTTTTTACATGTTTCTAATTAAATAAAGTCTCAGCTTTCATACCATGTCAAAATTAATGTAAAATACAAAGGATAAATATAGCTAACATAAATAAAACGAAACAGGTGTCAGAGTTCAAAACACCGGCTAGCGTGTTTGTGTCATCTACGTCATCTGTCAACTGTCAGTTTAGATCGACACGGACACGGAGACAGATTAACAGATTGACTGATTGACAGCCTAGACAAAATTAATTTTCGCGACGACGAAATTGCTCAACTTTTAAATTCAATTCCTGTAAGACATGCTACTTCAGACGACAACTGGATCGACCTTATTACGGACTTTTTCACCGCACCGGCAGCTGAGAGTGAGAGTGACAGCGGCGGCTCGACCTCCGGTATTTCGCGCTACCGACACCGGCCGGCTCCGATCGTGATGGCGAAGAAAGTGAGTGTGACGGAGGCCAGGAGGAAGATATTCCACTCGTGGCTGACCTGATGGTAGCATACAATGTCTCTGATTATAATTATGTAAAGCAGTAAAGCAGTAAAGTTTATTTATTTGAATATAAACTGTCTTATAAAATATAAAAAATGTCTTTCAATTCATTTGGAATATGACGGAATGTTGATTGCTATCTTTAGAGCCCTTTTTCTCAAAAACAAGGTTTGGTGACAGTCAACCTTTGGAAGAGCGTGTCTCATACAATTTTTGGAGTAGAAAAATAATTTTGGTATCGCCATAAAGCTGAGACTTTCCTCTTTACAGCCATGAAGAAAACTCAAAATGTGTTTCTGGGTCAAAGTGACTCAAAATGATGGAGCAGGTCACATATATAATTATTTCACCATTTAATTAATTATTTCATGGTCCTGTGTTGCATTGTTTCAAACTTATTGAAGTTCTTGGAGTTATTTCCACACTTTCCAACCAATATATTGACCATAGAGTGACTGCAAATTTAGAAGAAGTAGTCCACCGCTTCTCTGGTATCAAGGCGCATCAGGCCCAACACACACAGGGACCAGAGTGTTTGGCGTTTGACATACCGAGTGCAGTTCTGGAGCATCAAGTTCTTTGTGGATTACCTGCTGGTCAAATTGCAGCGATGTTCACTAGCTCTGCATCAATCCATTATCTGGAACTGATTTGCCCTGACTTGATGCACAGGGTAACCAATCAGGCGTTAGGATCCACCTACCAACTTTGATGGGCGAATTTGACAGATAAAATAAATTCATGAAGCACTGCAACACAGGACCATAAAATAATTAATTAAATAGTTTTTTACATAAAATTAATCGGTATTTTAATGAATTAATGACACATTCAAGTAATTATTTAATGATGGATTGATTTATTTAATTTTGGCACTTTTAGAAGCAGTTGTTGGCAATGAATAAAAACAAATATATATGAGCAATGCAGCCATGCAGAATTATAATTTGTGTTTTATGGAATTAACAGTGTCACTAAACCCTGAAATTCTGCTAGCTCTCTCCCTCCCAGCAAATTTTAAAAATGCATCAGTAAGAATCATATAGTGGCTAAGGAGTGTGTGATTCGGGAGGTAACACCGTCCAGTGACAGACTGACAAACTAGTAGAAAGTGGTTGCTTCGTATGTTTATAACAAAATATGTAGAATCTGGAATCAGAACTCTACAGATAGATCATTTCCCGCCATATGATTGTGAGTCAGTCCATGACTCCAAACACTCACTTAGCAGAGCATGCAGTTCAAATATATATTTTATTAGATACAGGCATGTTATTGTTTGGATACTGCAGGGATTTCAGCCTTCAAATGCACAAAAACACTCAAAAGGAACACATTTCATTCTAAGGAGATTGATTCTTTCTGTGCAGAAAGAAGAGTTTCCAGTTGGTTGACCAGAAGAAAGGTAAAGGGAGGGGAGGGTAGAGAGAGGAGACAGATGAAAGAAAAGATGGTGGACGGAGATCAGAGGGTGACAGGAGGGAGGAGGATGGATTAAATGAGGGAAGAGATGGAAGAAGCAGCCGAGAGATAGGGAGGTTCTGACCTGATGGTGACGTTGGCACACTGAGCAAGTCTGCGTCCTGCACTCTTCAGTCCAGTGTAGATCTGTCCCATCTCTATTGCCCCTTCCAGGCCAACCACCTCCAACAGCTGGTCACTGAAGTCTGGATGGAGAGGGTTACAGAGAGACACAAACAGAAAGACATGTTATGAGTTCATTTGCAGGCGCTTTGCCTGACCAAACTCAAAAACAGATGTACTGAAAAGTAACACTGACACACTGAAAAACGTCTGATAGTTTATGATACATATTTGTACCAATCATTCCTGTAAATTACTAAAATGAGTTAAGATGGTTGCTTCATTCACGTACAATTGACCTCGATGTGCTGTGCTGGGCTCATGTATGCTGAAAAGACATAAGTTTTAAGTTAGCTACCTAATGATTGATGTGTATTAGCTGTTAGTGTGTTGCTAGCTTTCAGATGTAACTAGTTAGCTAGTTAACGATTGATGTAGATTATCTAGCTAGTGTGCTAGTGTTTAGCTAGCTAACTCAAGATGTGAATACATAGGCCTATATATACCTTTATCTTTTAACATCTTCAAAATGGGGTCTTTTCAACACACAGTAGACGAGCATGGCACATAGCATATCTAACCATCCAGCCATCAACACATGTATGTTAGGTTAATTCTCCAGTTTATCCCTGGGCTCAGCTTAGCTTAAACCTTACTTAACTTTACTTTAAACGTCACTGAACAAATGATAAGTAGCAAATATGGAAAAGCTAAAGCTCATTGTCATAGCCAGTAATATGGGGTACAAACACATTCTTGCTGACCACCAGAGGAGGAGAACTTTGGACTTTGACCTTCTTTGGCGTGTTTTCGACTTTTGAACTGCTGACCGAGGGTGAAGCTGACAGACTGAGGCATTAAAATACACCCTGAGGTCTGCTTGCACTTTTGGCCGGTAGTGTCCTGTAAATGTCTTGTGTGTGTGTGTGTGTGTGTGTGTGTGTGTGTGTGTGTGTGTGTATATGTACTGAATTTGAATTTGTACTTTTTAAGGTATGCGTCAAACAAAGCATCTGCTGTTTAAGCTTACCCCTAATGAAGATTTATTAAAAAAGACAACTAATGAATGTGTTCTTGTAGCAGCAGTAGTGACTCGTTCTGGTTGGTTAGATTGTCCCTACATAGGATAAAGGTGGGATTTAGCAGCATCAAAGAAAGAGGTAGCACTCCAAATGTATCATTATTCCCTAATGATTTGAAGATATTAGTCATATTGGTAATTTGGGGGATTTAATGGTACTTTTAAAAGGTACTTAAAAAATAGCTTAATGTACTTAGGACTCCCTTACGTCACACTTAAACATGTAATAACGATTTTTAAAAAAAGAGAAATTTTTGGGCTGCTTTGGGGCAGGGAAGAAAGTTGTGATATGGTGAACAAGTTAGCCAACAGTTGCCTTTTACTCATCTAACAGTTACAGAGGAACATTATCATTCATTTGGAGTCATGATTCTGACCACCAGGTGAAGTCCAATATTCACTCTTCTTTAAGCTCTGGTTTTGGTCTCTACCAACTCCAGAAGAAAATATCAGCCTCTTTTGCTGCTCAGTGCTCTTCTATGTTCGCCAGGTAGTCTCTAATCGTGTCTATCTGCTGTTTGTTACTGAGCAGGTAGTGTACAGTGAGTTTTTGGAGCCAAAACGAAGCAGTAAGAGTAGTGCGGGTGAACCAAAACAGTAAAGTTGCAGCCGGGCAGCTAAACAATGAGCTGAAATTCACAATCGAGCTCCATAAAGTCGGGGGGAGGTGCAGATTTAGCTGACGATTCCCTGTAGGTTCATGACAGTGGTAGGTTCATGAGTCACCCCTTTCTTTTTGTCACACTGTTTTCACATTGTCATATGATATGAACATTGTTGCAAGACTGGAGAGGTAAACTGTGACATGCACACTATCACAATCATTTATGGATATTGTATTTATGCAGTTCCCATAAGAAAACACACTCTCACCTTTACTTTACTTACACCTTTCTCTTTGTCTCTATAGAACACACATGAAAACCTTTGTAGGACTTTCAGCTGCTTAAATAAAGGAATGTACAGATGAGAAGAGTTGCTCACTGTAATTCTCAGTGTCAAACCTTCTAACAGATCATACCTCCTCTTTATCTTCTATTACTAATTTCCCTTTGTGTTCTCTCTCTGTTTGAAAAGTGTGACGCCTAATAGTCAATATTTACAGACATGATCTGAAAGGTCAGTGATGATGTCATTTGACATTTTACTTTCAATACACTTTATCTCACACACAACTTAATATGATTGAGAAATGATGTGCTTGTATGGCCCCTGCAACTTCACAGGTTTTTACAGAATGCTTTGTGAAATGAATTATTACAGAGAAATCTGACAAATGTTCCGTCTTCACAGCCGGCGTGATAATTTGTGAGGTGCGACAGCAGAATCCAATCTCATACCCGCTCATACGACTGTGTTGGCGGCAGTTCGTCTACGCTAATTAACTGTGGTTGTGCGCAGATCACATCTTTTCCCAACATGGTGACAGGATCCGAGCAACACGAGCTGACCAGGCCGACAAAGACTACTAGGAGACAACCACTAGATCTTCCTGTTATTCTTACTCTGTTTATTCTGAAAAATTTGACAATGTGGTCTGGTGCTTCACACAGGAATAGACCCTGAATTGAGTCAAATCTCTGCCTCTGTAACCCATTCTCCATGGCTCATCATGCAGGTTAGTGTGGTGCTCTGGGAGTTGATTAAGTTTATTCAGGCAGGCTGCTCAATACCTAAACAGTCCTTTCTCATGCATGCAAAAAGCACTGGGTTTCCCCTTACTGCTTTTCTGACATCTTACAATGTCAAAAAAAAACATCTTACACGGAAGAGAGAATGACCCCTCTGAAAGTACCCATCCATTTCATTCTGCGATTATTCTGATGATTACATGTTCCAAATGTTAACAGCAGAAAAGGCACAAAGACTAGAAAAGACAGAGGATCTAGATAAATATAAAGGCAGAGCTGACTTGATTTAATGTCTCTAGCAGAGGTTTCTTCAGCGCAGCAGAAAAGAAAGAGAGCCTGTAAGAGGCGCCCAGGGAACCAGTCAAACCATTCCCCGAGGGTGTCGATCCTCCATCCCGCCCAGACAAGCTCCGACTGGCAGTGCTGCCTGTTGTGACTGGAGCCACAGGCTGTTTCAGTGTAAACAACGATAATAATTTCCCAATGTCGTCAGACCTCGCTAACCTTGCTGGCTTTGTTTTCAAACTGCAAACAGGAAACTGTTGTGCGTTTTCGGTTTGCTCTGGAGAGAAAATGTGCTCTGCAAGAGTCTGATGCAACACAGGGCCCGGGACAAGCCTGGGTTGTGACTTTTCACTTTTGGACAAATTACAGGAAAAATGTAAATATGCAGTGTTCTGCTAGTTACTATTACTTTACTTATTACTGCCTGCCAACAGTAATTAGTTACACTAGTAGTTAAATAACTTTTCTGCTACTTCCCACAAAAGTAATTTTAATATTATTACTGAAATGTATTAGTATTTAGTTACACTACTAGTTACTGGGGAAAGTAATATTATTACCAGTAATAACTGCCCAACACTGTACATATGTAAACAATGTGTCATAATTACACAGACTATCTACATTTGTTTTTCTTATTCTATGCTTGTTCCTTTAAAGTACCAGTGTGTAGAATTACGTGGCATCAAGTTCCAACTAACTGAACACTGCTCGTGTCTGTATTTGAGAATGGGCTGTGAAGTGTGTAGGAGAAACTATGGTGACCACGAAAGGAGAGCCAGTGTTTAGTTTGTCCTTTCTGTGCTACTGTAGAAACATGGCAATTCAAGATGGCGGATTCCATTGAAGAGGACCCGCTCCCTCTGTAGATACGGCTCACTCTAAGGTAACAAAAACACAAGGATTCCTATATTCAGGTGATTATACACTAATGAATGTGAATTTTAAACACTGGACCTTTAAAACAAACTCCCATATGAACTGTAATAATGGACTTTTAAAAAACAATTAATCTCTTGATTAGTTTAGAAAATTGGCCATTGCTTTCCCTTCATAAAGTATTCTCACTGTGGTCAAAATCAAACTGTGTCCAGCAGCTGGTTAACATAAGTTTTAACATAATGGTGAATATATTAGTTATAGTTTGTTTTTGTTTACATGTATAAAAACATGATGTGTGACATTTAGAAAGTGCTGCCATTTCGTGCCTGACTTCGGGGATGATCAAGGTTTACATGGGAATAAGTGTGCTGTTGCTGAGTCACTGGCATTTTAATATTTCAGATGACAATTTGAAAGAAAATGCCAGCGCAGAGTGAGGAACAGAAGGGCTGTACTTCAGTTTGGTCGATCCTCTTAAGAATTAGATGCTCAGGGCACATGCATTAGTAGAGAAGCGCACGTGAAGAAGAGAAATAAAATGCATCCACTTATACTTCATTACATGATCATCTTCAGTAATTGTGCATGAATGTAACAATTATTTTCCAGTTGCCGTAGACCTGGTATAGCACTATTACAATGCAGTAGAATCTGTGAGCAACATTTACAATGTAAAAAGTGGGTTTTAAATAAAAAAGAACATGCTGTTTCAAAGCTTTTTCCACTCCGTCACAGATAAAGTTCTGGATACATGGTATTTTTTTAGATGCAAAAAGATGTTATAGACTGACAAAATACTGAAATCATACTGGAATAAGCTTAGTTTATTTGCTAGAAAAAAATATCCTAGGGGGGCAAAATGGTGCTATCCATTTGTCTTGTAAATCCCCCGCCCGAGTTGCTCTGACGCGAGAACGTGACGTAATTGCCTGGCTTGTACCACTTATAGCGTTCCATTTGTCTTTGGGCATTACGAGTCGGAAAAACATGGACGCCACCAGTGCAGCAGCTGTCTTGTTATTGCTTGTGGCTCATCTAAACAAGCTCAATGTGAAATACTAATGTGTTTTTCTACAGAAACACTAACATTTCAAGTAATTCCGTTATTGCAAGTCTTACATTTCAATAATATTTTGCCATTTTTGCCTATTTCAATTTCAACAAGTGCTGTGGCGTTTGTCTCGAGCCACCAGGGGCCTCCAGG